CTGTGCTCCAGCCGTTGTTCCTTTGGAGACAAAGGATTGGTGGTCAGTGCCACCACTGATACTTTTTCCAATTCAATACCATTGTTACTGAAACAAGGACTAGCGACATGAGAGACACTGACTTCAGACTCACAAGCGCTTTCATCTACATTACCCGAGGGTCCAGAGGAGGAATCCCAAGAGCTACTAGTGCCTCCCGAAAGGCTCCTGGGAGATTCGGTTTGAACTGGACGTTGGCGGTAGTGTAGGACATAACCAACAGATGTTTGGCTTTCTGATTCAGTTTCATCTTCTGTTAACTGTTTGTCTACATCTCCCCCTGGTAGCCAGGGGCAGTGTTTCAACTGGGTCCTGTGTAAGGTAAGACCCTCTCCTTGCCCTAATGGCTCCTTACTACGTAGACTGGGCGATCTGGAAAGGGCTGCTTTACCACCATATGATCGACCTCTTAATCCATGTCGTCGGACTAGAACATACTGGCCTACTCCAAGAGGCTTCTCAAAAACCTTCCGGGCCTGGAGTACATTACGTGCCTCCACCGCAGCCTTAGCGTTCCTCGTTGCAATGTCTCTAGCCATTCGCAACTGTGACTGGTGCTCTGAAACATATGACTTGACTCCCTTCTTGCCTCTCTGAGCTCCTTCCCCACTTTGAACGAAGCTTGATGTTACGACTCATGAATCAGGCTTCACATAAGCTTTACCGATAACACCCTCCTTCTGAGTCAACTGCATCTGTTCGTCGACTGCCTGAAGAGCCTTTTGCCAAGCTGTATCCGTGGTTGGCCACGGCATTCTTGTCAAGAAATGATCTTTCTCGCCCCTTATCAATTGGTTCCAGCATTCATGTAGAACATTCATCCCTAGTATTCCCATTAGGCTCTGACCCCTTCGCTTGGCCTCTACTTCTGCGAGCACAAGTACTATTCTTGAAGACATGCAATGTCCAAGGGCAGATACATCAGTATCAAAATATCCTACATATGGGATGGCCTGATAACCAGCAGAGACCAATGTGAAAGAAGAAGGGATATCTTTTAACGTAAAGCCTGCTGGCCCGAGGTGTTGGTTGAAGAAGGATTCTCCTACCGTCGTCACTTGTGATCCTGGATCAAGAAGACAGGGAACCTGAACCGTACCGAATTCCACTTCCACTGAATAGCACTTTCCAACCGCCCTGGATAGGAATCCTCTTTCCTCACCGTCCCCTGCCGTTGCACTCACTTTGGAAACATTGCCAACCACTTTGCCGTGTTCCTGTTTCCACTGCCTATTATCTTGCCCCCCTCCAGATGCAAAGCTGGGGCCTTGGCTGCGGGGTGGTCCCGTAGGCGTAGGGGCACCTTTCTCCCCTGGCCCAGGAAGCGATCCTTCCATTCGATTAGGTGGTCTCGTATGCGGAGGGGCACCTCTCTCCCATGGCCCAGGAAGTGGTCCTTCCATTTGATTATCTCTGAGAAAGCTCTGAAGAGGAATCCGTTGTTCTGAATAAGTGGGATACTGACCTTCTACCATGTACGGCCCAGACATCAAAGGTCCTATTGGGTATAAAGGACGTTCTTGTCTATAATTGCGGAATGGATATGGACTTGCTTCATTCCTCAACGGAGGAGCACTTTCAGGAAAACATTGTGTTGGTGCCCCTCCTGCGTTTCTGTTGGGGGCACTCTCTTGCGAAGTGTCCAAAGGCACCACAATTAAAGCAAGGACCCCTCTGCGTAGGCCCCGAAGAGGTTGGTTTCACCTGCAAGCTGTCCCGATGGCGATTAAACTGCATCATCTCCCTTACTGCCCTTATTACTTCATTAGTCATGGCCCTTACTGCTTCAAGGACCTCGTTGTCCAGGGATGTGATCTGCGCTTGCGTTTTATTGCGAGCTCTCGCAGTTCCTTAAAGGTCATCTCGTCTTTCACCTCATACATATCTCTTAAGGTGTTACGCAAGAATGTGTCCTTAAGGCCCTCAACGAATTGTTCTGTAATCAAAGCGTCAGGTTTTGCATACAGGTAGGAGCTTCTTGATGTCAAGCTCAGGAACTTCCTTTCTAGGTCGACAGCATATTTCGAACAGATTCTCTTGTCCCCTGCCTCCGTTCAAGAAATCGGCGTTGCAGTTCACCTACAGGTATCACTTCTGCGTATGATGACTTGAGGAAGTCGACCATCTCCTCGACATTGCCACCACCTTTGACAATGGCCTTGGCCTCGTCCTTCGGCCCTCTAAGATAATCTAAAAGAAAGGTGGCTTGTCGAGTCGAAGGAACATTGTAATGTTTGAATGCATCCCCCATGGCCGTAACAAAATCATGGACATCACCTGCCCCATCAAAATTAGGAAGTCTTTTTTCCGGCGCCAGCACAAGATAAGGTGGGGGCCTCAAAAAGAGCTTTGTCAAGTTTTGAACTGTCTCGCTTTCATAACCATCAGTTTTCTCCTCTGGGAAAAGAGGGCGATAACATGTCGCTTTCCATTGTCCAAGGGGCCGGATGACCCCACCAACCGCGGGCACTATCACCTCTTCTTCTCCAACATCTGTATAAACCAAACCTTTGGCAGAGGAATATCTTGACTGTAATGCTTCAAGTGATAGAGGGCCCCCCTCTTCTACAAGGGGGAATTTGAAGGATTTCCCGTCATCCCCGATTCTTACATACAAACCCATTTTAGCAATATGAGATTGGTAGATATATCAGAATAGTTACTAAACAACTAATATCTCAAGCATTTACAAATGAGTAGGGCAGAAACTAATCGATAGCTATTTGTGACACTGGCAGGTCACTAATTGAAGTAGGGTCCAGGGGCTGTGTCCCATGAAGCTCAGCGTTTAAGGCATTTAATTATGGTCAGATGAGAATTCAGGGACCCGTCTTAGGGCCCTTGGTGAGGTCCAGGGTGTGGAGCCCCCGGAAGCTCAGGGGTTTTAGGTATTTAATTACGGTCAGAAGAGCATATTTTGTTATGTTACACTGGCAGGTCACTCACTCTTTCTTTCTCCCTTTCTTTCTTTTTCAAAAAAGTAAGGAGGGCTCGAGCATTACCGTTCTGTAGGCCCTGACATGAAGGCTTCTAAATAAGCACATTTTTTGCCTAATTGTAAATTTGGGAGACTTGTCATTTTCCAACCAAGGCATACAAAAGTATAATTTACCTCCCAAAAAGAGAAAAAATCACAGAAAATCATGTCATTTCAGCAACATGTTCAAAAAGACCATATGATTTATGCTTTTTTTTTTGGGGGGGGGAGGCAACTGCAAATGTCCACATTTCCTGAAACATCCCAGAGTACAGGAGAAGAACTTCTAAAAATTCAATTTTTCGAAAAAAATCAAAATGTTTCTTACTTAAATTTGCGATGTTCATTAATCCCAAATTCTTTGAAATTGGTATCAAAATGTAAATAATTTAACTCTCTTTTATATGACACCAAACTTATGGTGGTTCAAGGTTTCCTTAAAATATATTTTACATAATACTATTTTGTCGTCAAAAGGGCCACTTTTTCGGTGGGGGCGTCCCCCTGGCCACACCCACCACTTAGAACATGCCAGACGGTCAATTTGTTATGTGGAGCTATGCGATCTTTACAACTGTACACATGAAAATTCCTTCCCAGCTAGGTTGACCCCCTCTCCTGACTCCCGGTCTAGGACCCCCAGGAAATGAAGGAGGGGTCTGAAAATTTGCACCCCATCATTTTTGGCCAATTGGGACCCTTTTGAGGCCAAACCAGCAAAAAAAAAAATCAACTTTGGCACAAAAATCCTACGGGAGCTGTTTCAGTGACAAACCGTACCCCACTATAAAGGGATTACCATGAAAGTATTGCGTAGCCTTATAGGACGCTGTAATGGCATACATTTGAGGTGCCCCCTTTTTTCTCTCTCTCTCCCTCTCGCTGCCTCTCTCGTTCTCTCTCTTCATATTATGCTGGACTGTACAAGATGATTTTATAATTACCAAAAATGTGAGGTGTATCCTGGATTCTCGTTTGGTGGGATGTCACCTCCCCCCCCCCCTCCTCTCTTTTTATTTCTCTTTGGGTTTATCACTTGAATCTGAGAAGGAAAAAAGAAGGATAAGAAATAGTTCGTAAGCAACCTTGTGTTATTCTAGCTAGCGTTGCTACAGCCCCATGCCAATCAACGGCTTGCTTTGCGTTTACTTTTACGACAAAAAGTCACAGCCCTGTTTTCGCCTGTTTTGCTTTTCTTGACTTTTCCGGTTGTATTGTCTTTTGTTCGGCTTTTAAGTTAATAAAACGATTTAGTGAGAAATAACCGGAAATAAGAAGAAGAAAGTTATTAAAATTCAAATTAAAAAGAATACAATTTTACGATGCGGAAAGGACCAGATATTCGATGCCTAAAGAAAACGCTAAAATGGGACAGAATTAAACGATTATAACGACTCATCTTGATGCAATTAATATGGACATTTTGTGGCGCTTTTTTTTTTTTAAAGATTGAAGAGCGCCATTTCTATTCCAACATCAACAACATTTCTGTTAATTTCTGCATTTTACTCCGAAGAGGGCAAGACAAAAAGCTTTAGAAAATATCTGTTGTCGTTGCTATTTGTCGGTCTTGTAATACCAATTTTTCTATTTTGTTTTGTTTCATTTTTGCTTGATTTAAGCTCTTCATATTTGTAGCCTATAGAGTACCGAAGCTGTGACATCATACAAATCTATTTTTGAATTTCTCAATATTTTCTTTAATGTCCTAATGTCGAAAGCCAATTGAATATGTTAAGCTATTGACTGAGATATGACCATCTGAATAAATAGATTTCCTGTAGGAACTCAGTGTTAAATTGCTCTGGTCCTTATGTTATGAACAAAATAGATTTTTTGATGACGTCAAACTTCACCACTCATAGTGGTAAAGTATGACGTCATCACAAATCTCTTTTTGGAATACTAAAAAACAGTGTAAGATTTGATAGATATACTAGTAATACCTATTTTTATGCACCCGATTTATTGTCATATCTCTCAGGTTCTGCATCAGCCGTCAAGGGTCCTTTTCGCCGAGAATGAAGCTATTGTCTCTCCTGGTGTAGTATGTGAACCATCGGGGACCACGTTTGAGAAGCCTTTAAAGTTGGTCATCCCTCACTGTGCAGTGTTAACAGACCCCTCCAAAGCCAAAGTCACCATGCACTTCACTAATGGCGATACGAAAAGTGAGTGTAATACCTTAACTCTAAACTGTGAAAACGATTAAAACACATTCCGCAGAAACAATGATACTACAGTGTGAAGAAGGTATGGACAAGGGGCAAACAGTACACAGTGTGGAAACTTTAGTATTGTGGATAATCAGGGATAGAGAAAGACGGAGGTTGGAAACTATGGGAACACTCATTGTAGACCCAACGTTCGGAAACAGTTATAATACACTGTGGAGACAATAAGAAATCAATCTGAGGAGAGTGAAATAGAGTGTGGCCATCCCGCCCCCCCCCCCCCCCACTCAGTGTTATTTAGGGTACGCTTATGCTTGTTCCCTCTTTTTGAAAGCACCCCCTATCTGAGGACTGCCAACATTTTCGAACCCACTTTCGAGGGCTTTTCGCGGGCTTTTCCTGCCTTGGAGACCCCCCTAAATCAGGAAAAATGCTCTATGTACCCCCTTAAATTCGGAATAATTTCTCAGGAGTCCAAAGAGATGAGAGAGAAAAAGAAGAAAAAAATCCCCTTTTTAAAGAAATCTCCGGGTGAAAAGTCAAATACACCCCCTTTTTTTTACAATTTTCGTGCCGGACATTGTCACACGAAAAGTACCCCTTTACCGGACACTTTGGCAACACCCATGCGGTCATTCCGACCTCTGAGTGGGGGGGGGGGGCCGGGGTGCGAATTTGCGATTCCCAAACCATTCAGCTATGGGAGACTTTATGAGCAACGTGATTGGTCGAGAGAAGAAATAAATATTACGTCATTTACTGCACGCTCGGGCTCGCTCACAGCTGACACAGACACACACACACTCACAATGTCAGTCTGCAAGCACAGACTCTAATTTGACACTTTACGAAAGATATCATGTCTGAGGGTAGCCTTTTGACAAGGCCTCGTGACTCCGGCTAAGCGGCTGAGATGAGTCTAGATACCCCGGGTGAACGCGCGACCGAGTGACGAATGTCACGAGGCCTTTTGCAAAGTGGGTTTCACTGCTCCGCATGAATTATTCATAGATACATATTAGCATGCCAATACGCCTACTTTGGATTTATAGACCAATCAGAACGGCGATCTCCCAGTTGGCTTCGTTCGTGATTAGTTCCATGTAGAGGTCAGTGGTCTTAGCACGTACGTATAGTAGGCAGGTAGGTCCATGTTCGCACTACGTAGAGTTTACTGTGTGTGTGTGTGTGTGTGTGTGTGTGTGTGTGATGGATACTATATGCTGACGTCGTGCGAGGATACGTTCGCTGATTGGACACTACGTTTTCTGAAGCGAGTTCCAGTCGGAAACAAGGGTTAACATAAGAAATCCAAACCAGATTGATAAAGTCCACAGGTCTGGACAATTCGCACTGACGTTCATTCAGGTTTTCGCGATTAGTCTCTTTTTAGTCGCTCGGCGTCTATCAGGCACGTGGCCTTGTTTAAAGGCTAGTCTGAGGGAAGTCTATCTACATGAAATGGCCTACTGTAGTCTCACGATTCAGACTCTGTATATGTGCCTGCAAACTACTCACATGCCTTAGAATTCTGCTACTGAAGGTGTGTATCAGTAACGCATAGAGAGAGATGGGTCGGTGAGACTCGAGGCGAGAAAAAAAAAGTGACGGGAATGAGAAGGAAGAGGAAATTTAAAAGAGCACATGCAAGTTGAGAGAAAGAGAGAGGGGAAGTACGAAAACAAGAGAGAGGAGGGGTGCACATAGTTTGCAGGCACCCATAGAAATTCATTATGTCTCTATGCATGAATGGCCAGAACATCTCGGACTTGGCTTGGTCTAGCGTTTGCTGTATGTTGAAATGGCCTGACGTAAAATGATTGTGGATGAGCGACAAGACATGCGGGATGAGACTTCCAGGGATGACTGCTTGGTGGACTATAGCTTTCGTCTTCACATCCATCTTCGTGCGGGAGAGGATGCCGTTGTGGACCGTGAAGCGGGGAAGCTGCCATAGATATCGACGAATTCTTGGATGAAATTGTTGGATAAACTTGGGTGTCAGTTTCTGATGACTTGCTACAATTTGCTTGATCTGCTCAATCTCCTTGTCTTGCTGCTGGAACTGGAGTATTCTAGTGCTGAGATCATCGGGATACGCAGAAGGCATCGCTGGATAGGTGTGCAGACTTACAGAGGATACCGATCGATGCGTTCTAGTCTGATGAAGTTCATTGGTCGTCTGAGTACCGACTGATGAGAAAGATGTTGGGTGCGGTGTGGTTTGTGTAACGGTCTGGACCAGGTCTGGACGGTGTTTCTCTCTGAAGGATGGCTTGGTTGCTTCGAGAGATTCGGCTGACTCATGGAGCATGAGCAAGATGGAGAAAGCTGCAGCCATTCATCTGCCTTCTTTTCTATGTCATCAAGTCTCTGCAGAATCTGTCTGAAAAGAGCTGACCAATCATCACTAATGGTTGGGAGAGAGTGATCTGGGTTGTGTGAGTGAGGTGAGGACAAGCCAGCGAATGTTACCCTCTTTCTACCAAAAACAGCAGTGAGTTTGATTTTAGCGGCTTACAATTTTCAGATTTTCTCCATTTTCTCTCAAGGGACAGCTTGTCTCCTAAGCTCAAGATATATCATGGGGAAAATGTATTTTACACAACATATGTTGGGTTCACAAAGAGAGAAGCAGCATCTTAAAACAAAATGGAGAAAATCTGAAAATTGTAATACAAAACAAATGGAGAGTTGTCCACAAAAGCCTGCCATTTTAAATCAATATTGCCAATTTGAGGATCGCCATAGAAACTCAACTGAGACTACAAACTTTCATAACTCTCTCATTTTTCAACAGATTTTGAATTAACTTTTTTAAATTGCTTCTCTCTGTCCCCTCTTTTCATTAAAATTGAGTTGTCCTGAGGGTTTTGGTTTCCTTTATTCCCCACTGGGGTGGGACTAAGCTAAAGCCATATGACAAAGTCATTGGAAAATGAATTTTGACAAAATCAATAGTTATACATGCTAAACAAATAATAAAAACCCATTTCGGCTTATAGGTCATGATTATCCACCTAGAGCAATTACAGCAGTATAAGTGTTGTGATTGTAGGTGTCCCTAGACCGCCCCACATATTTCATTTGATATGTCGGCAAGTTCATATCAAACTTTTAGGAAATCAGACCATAAACCCTCTTGCATTAAAGGCACAGGTCCCCCCCCCCCCCCCAAAAAAAAAAAAAAATCGAAATGTACTTTAATAGTGCCATTTTCCCTTCAGTAGAATTGTTGCATATGATCATGTTTGATGTACACTGAAAGAATTTCATTTTCATTTCAAACAAATGTGCACTTCTGTAGATTTTGTTGTTGTTGAAATGACCAGTACCTGTGGCAAAAGTACAAGTCAGGGCAGTTTGCTATGTCAGCTGCTTTCATGACATATTCTGGTCCATACTGAACTTGAAGGTTAAGCTTGTGTGTGTTAACCCTAATCCCATTGGGTTATTTTGATCACTCGAGTCCATGGGGGGGGGGGCCTCCAAAAATGTGATATCCTGTAGTCTATCCTGTTTGAACAATACTCATGACTAGATCTACATGTATAGTCGAGATGAATTAATTTAATTTTGGAAACTTTCTCTAGTTTTACCATTTTAATCTGTTTGAGGATTTCTGACCTGGAAATTTTGTAATGCCTAATTCTTTCATCAAACTCTGATTATTAGAACAACTGCTGGGCCTCTCTGCAACCCCTTTTTCCCCTCAGACTCAAGCTCTCATTTATACATAGACATCTAGACTAGTAAAGTTAGACCCCCCCCCCCCCTCCCCCTCCCTCCCCCAATAAATAATGTTCCATTTTTTATTTTTTTATCATAGGTCTATAGATCTAGGGTCTATATCTACAAAAAAAAAATCACCCAATCGATATCTATATTTCATTAGAACATACTTGTATCTAACTTAAAAGATCTATCATCTAACTCTACATGTAACTTGTGTTATTGTCTATGTTCATACAATGCATGGCTAGGCTCAACAAAACACTCAGGACTGCCCATACGCTATGTTGTTAGGTTCGTTCGTTCGTGTCTCCTTAGATCAAGATAGTAATGTAAAGTTCCTTAACTTAGAAGTAAATTAAATTAAATTAAGTTCTTCCATCGCTCGATTGCTGCAATGGCCGTTTCATTAACAAGGGACAGGTCTTCATCTGTGCAACCCGTTCCGCCGCACTGCAAGAGGTGGTCCATCGTCTGAGTCTCTCCGCAGTCGCAGAGAGTATCTCCTTCATGGGCATAGCCCCATCTTGCCATATTGACCTTACACCGTCCCATTCTCGTCCGCATTCGATTTAGGCATTGCCACTCCGGCCACTTCAGGTTAAGACCTTTGATGAGTACGGGCTTGACTGATGGTGGAGGATTCTGTTCAGGTGGTGGGACAGAATCGAGGAAGCTGTGTCGGGATATAAGTCGTTTGTGGGGTTGTAAGTATCCGTGTTGTAAGTATCCGTGTTGTTAGGTACAATGCACTTCACACGCGAGCTAGCTACAGGCACATACAGGCCCACTGTTATCCATTGTTTATGTGCAGCCCATTCATGCAAACATCTTTCCAAAAGTCATAGACACGGATCTGGTCATGGCGTCTTTATAATAAAATAATTAAATACAGGGTCTAAATATCTACTTGCATGCAGATTTGGAAAATCATTTTGAAGATTTGATGGTTCACTCGGACCTGGCCCCAGACACATTCGCACCGCCATGATGAGATGGCTCGCGTCGATGTGGGCGTGTCTTTATAACTTTTTTAACCAATCACGTTGCTCAAAATGTTTCCTTTTGGGAATCGCAAATTCGCGGCCGGCGTGGACATAATACGAACATTATTATTGAGACAATGGTACACAATGCACTGTCATCACTTGTGTTACATACTGTTAACGCATTTGCAAACGTTGTGTGGATACACTGCACCATGGTTTGAAGAAAAAAATCTTCCAGTGAACCCACATTTCAAAGTCTGTTTCATTCGATTTATTTATTTATTTATAGTGATGATTTAATGGTGATGGGTGTCATGTTTTTATTCGTGTTACTCTTTTATAATGCTTCCCCCCCCCCTCTCTCTCTCTCTCTCTCTCTCTCTCCATTTACATCATCCGCACGTTTGTAGTCATAAAGAAAGAAATGTCATCAACTGGAACACCTAGGTGCATTGTAGGAAAGGATGTCTTTGAAGTTTACATTACAAATTTCTCAATTTGTGAAATGTTCATGGTAATTTCTGACAACCTCATTGGAAAACGTGTCGCTTCTACGCCCTACCTTCCAAAATCAATGAGTCACCTCCATTCAAAATACTGTCATCTACGTCTGTACAATGATACTCCTGGGACTGAAGATGTGAGTAATTTGCCAACATTCAAAACCCACCTTTTTTATCAGTTATAGTTTACTGGAGGCGCACACAAGTAGTTAATTCCATTCAACTGATTTGTATTGTATTGTATTGTATTAGTAGTATTTTGTTGCTTTTACGGTTTTGAACATGTTGAATAATTATAAGTTAGACAGTACCACCTGTGCGCTTAGAAACGTCTGTATAAAGCGCTCTATAAATGTAATTATTATTATTATTATTATTATTATTAATTATAATATTGTGAAAAATATACATTCAGTATAAAACATAAATAGCAAAAGTTGTTTTTAAAAATGATTTTTATAAGTGGTTTAAGTTATGAAATGGGCTTGTTTTAATATTTTTGTTTAACTAATCTTTTGTAGTCCACTCCAAATTACCTTCTATTCCCACTTTCTTTCCCGCTCATAATCGGTTATCATTATCATCATCAGTAGAAGCAGTAGTATTTATAGTAATTATTATTATATTGTCACCGTCAATATTATTATTATCATCATCATCATCATCATTTTGTATTGTAAGGAGAAATTAATACCGCCCCGTGTCCCTATATTCAGAGATATGTTACCTGTTTTTCAATACTTCTACACTGTCGTTCATATAGGTGGAATATTTTTGTTTTACCCCAATTTATGGAATTATTTTAAAATTAATTTTAAAATAATAGATATAGATAAAAGTATACATTCTCAGATTGTATTGAATAATAATTTGCAAATGTGTGTTTTGCGTGACTGCTAAAGCATGTGTATGCTTCCACGCTTATCAAATAGGGGACCTACGCCCTTAAGTCATATATGACAGTGATGAGGATTAATGCCCCACAAAAGGGCACTAATATAGCATATCGACACGGTTTTGATCCTGAGGCCTCACGGTTACGAGGCCATTGCTTTGTCACTGAACCATGACTTTATGCAGCGGGAGCTAGGGTAGGGGGCAGTTTCCATAAATAAATAAACACACAGAAAATGCAATAAATTTTCAATAATTTATTGCATTTTACCCCGGTCCCCAACATACACAGAAACTCTGGATGGCCATGCATTATGGCTCAAGGCATGGGCACACAGAGGATTTTTTAATGTTGGGAACCGGGGTAAAATGCAATAAATTATTGAAAAATTATTGCACTTTCTGTTTTGTTTTTTTTTATTTATGGAAACTGCCCCCTACCCTAGCCGCCGATGCGTACAATCATGGTTCAGTGACAAATTAATGGCCTCGTAACTGTGAGGCCCCAGGATCAAAACCGTGTCGATGTGCTTTATTAGTGCCCTTTTGTGGGGAATTAATACTCATTGCTGTCATTTATGCTAGGGTGTAGGTCTCCTATTTGATAAGCATAGAAGCATACACATGCTTTAGCAGTCACGCAAAACACACATTTGCAAATTATTATTCAATAAAATCTGAAAATGTATACTTTTATCTATATCTATCATTTTTAAATTATTTTTTAAATAATTCTATAAATTGGGGTAAAACAAAAATATTCCACCTATAAATATTAGCGACAGTGTATTACTACAATGGAACTATTTGCGTATTATATACAGATATAATGGATACAATTCTGTTATATGGCATTTCGATTTAACTCGAAATTGCTATTTGTCCTCATGGTGATGATAAACTCGCCAGGGAATCGAAATCGTGCTTAATATATACCTTAATGAATCTGGTGACCGGGTACAAATAGTGAACTTACCTGTAAAGCACATAGAGACAGCACTCCATATCTAAGCAATTTATAAATCTAGATTTAATATGATTAACTTCAAGAAGCCCAATATGAACAAAAAGTCTGTTAACAGAAATGTCTAAAACGCCTTTTTTTTTTCTTTCTCTCTTGTATCATTTGTTACACATCTAAATACAGAGAGAGAGAGAGTTTTTCTTCAAATATATGAAGAATTGATTTGTGCCGATTTATATCCTTTCGAGAATTTGAAATATTGAAGCTTATACCCAAACGTATTCAACAAAGGTTTTTATTCAACAGTACACCTTTCATTCTTATGTTTCGAATTTCACAAGAAATGGGATATAAAAAAAAAAAAAATTAATTTTTTTTTTTAATAAAGCTAAATTATTTGAAAAAGGAAATACAGGATAAATTTATGTAGTCGATGGTGTTAAGATAAAGAGATTTAATGCTTCCTCCTTCGTCCTTTTTTCCATTTTTTATTTATTCTCTGTACAAAAACGATATAATTAGTTCATCGAAAAACAAGAAAAAAGGCTCCGTTATCAAAAGATGGCTCCGACAAGAAAAAACCTTTTCGTGCTCTGGAAGACAGGCGAGCTGAAGATCAGATGGGAGGTCGACAGCGGTCATGGCACCGAGAACGAAAAGGTACTTGAACAATTTATACACTGGCTATATTTCAGAACGCATGATTTAAAATGCAGGGTAATAATGTGATCTTCAATGGAGGTTGGAGGTGAAAGGAACGAAGCAATGATCGATCATTACTACAAACTCTGGATTCTTAATCCTTACTCCTTAGAATTATTTTATATAAGCTCTATGATATCATGTTCTTCGCTCATTTCCCCCAATACTTATGTCATACCAATGCAAAACGAATAGGCCATTTCATACGATCAAATCTTTGCCTTCATGGTGACCAAAACAGGAGAATTTGCCAACTGTGTAACTAACGTAAAGATTTGTTTACCTTTATTGTTATTAATTATGTTTTTTGGTGCAACGCGATCCCCAAGGATTCAAGAGAATTAATTTAACGTGCTCTCATCAACAAAACAAACAAAATGGGAAATTACATTAAACAAAAGTTATATTTCTGTATGCATAGGCTATCAGAATAGCTCTTTCTAATTGACTTATATCTTTAATATTTATTTTCTGTATTTTGTGTGTGTTTCCATTTCACAATGAAGACCGTATCGCTAGATGATATCTATAGATTGGATCGAAACAATGTTAATTTCCTAGTAAAGGGGACCAGCGATGCCAATGTACCTTTCAAGATCAACATGCATCTTCATTGTAACGAAGAACATGCCTTCGGTGTGAAATACTCTGGTACGTATCTGGGTCTCGTTGCATAAAACTAACCACTGATGATCATTTCCATGGAAACGTACATTTGATAAACTCTTGGGTTATGTTGCCGTGGTAGTTAACATTGATAGCAACGTTACAATCTTTCCTTTTGTGGCCAGGGGCGTCGCTAGACATTCTTCATCAGTGGGGGTGTAGAGGTTACCGATTACCGACAAAACTAGCCAACAATTACCGAAAAATATACGAATGTCAATGTCCCAATTTAAAAAAAATGAACCCTATAGCTAAATTATTCTTAGTTTTCCCCCTCCCGCGCGAAAGCTTTGTCGTTTCATTAAATTATTAGAGAAAGAAGACGCTTCGTTGAACTTTATTTGATTCTTAATTCTTGTCTGAATTCAGTCCCTTCATCCCCCCCCCCCGCCCCCTCCCGCGCGAAAGATTAGACGTTTCATTAAATTATTAGAAAAAAAACGATTCGTTGTACCGTTCTTTACTCTTAATCCTTGTCTGAATTCAGTTTCCCTCTCCCGAGCGCGAAGTGCGAAAGCTTTGACGTTTCATTAAATTATTAGAGAAAGAAGACGATTCGTTGTACTGTTTTCGATTCTTAATCCTTGTCTGAATTCAGTTCCCTCCCTCCCGCGCAAAGCGTGGAAGCTTTGACCTTTCATTAATTATTAGAGAAAAAAGAAGATTTCGTTGTACCGACTTTTAATCATTGTCTAAATTTTCAAAAATAATTTTTTGTCCCCCAAAAAAGTCACAGTTCGTAGGGAAAAATATTGCCGGCCGACCGACATAATACATCTCACCGACTTTAAACTGCTGCATTGATATAGTATACAAATATACACTGCCTTGAGAGGTTCTGGTTAAAACTATGCGCAAGAGGTGACTCCAATAGTACTATTTGCTGAGGGGCGCAGCCCCGAAGCAAATGGTACTTTTGGAGTCACCGAGGCCCATAGTTTACCAGTACTTCGAATAGAAGGCATGGCATATTTGTTTTATATCCTGCATCAAAAATTTATATTTAAAAATAAAAATTTAGAACAAAAAAAAATGTCAATTTTTATCGAAAAAGATTTAAAATATTTTGTTTTCATTAAATTAAGATTTGAAAAAAAAAAATTGATTCAATTAAAAAAAAAAATTAAATCTTTTTTTCACCTCCCAAATAGGAAACCGAAATAGTACTCTCATATAGTACTTTCTAAAAATAGTTCAAACATTTCTGGTCATGTGACGAGCTCTCAACCAATCAAAAGCCAACAAATTTTTAATGCAGGATATAATACACTATGATTGAGCAAGAATACCGACACAGCGGACCCGACACAGCCACATAATTATCTATGCGTTTCTTTCTCGCTCCCTGGACGTGGCGACTCCATCCATCATCCCCCCCCCCTCTCTCTCTCTTTTTTTCTCTTTCACCCCCGTTTCTTTTGTTTCCTTTTTCTCTTTTTCTCTTCTTGTCCTTGGCTACTTTTCTTTCCTTTATTTCCTTTCCTTTGTTTCATCTCCTTCCTCTTTTTCTTGTTTTATCTTTCTTTCTTCTTTTCTCTTTCTTTCCTTTTCTTTTTCTTTCCCTTTCCCTCTCATTTTTATAACATAATAATTATAAACACTACATTCAAATATCAAAAGCAACAAATATATTACAACTCATACCATTGAAGGAAGATGAAAATGAAAAATGAAAATGTTCTCCCTGACCCCCAATATGGAAACGTTGTATCATCCGCTTAATCTGACTTGCGTGCATAGAGCAAATAAGCATGTTTCCATGAAAAAGTGAAGTTTTCTAAAATGTGCGTTTCTTTCCAGCATTGGGGTGCCCGGAAGTCACTCGGGTAACATTTCGTAATGTATAATATAAAAAGACCATATGCAAATTTTCTGTACTTGTGTCGGAAAAAATATATTTATCAAGCACAATGTCGTCTCTTTTGCGTTGGAGAAGAGCAAATAGTGAGTTTCAATCACACTTTGGCCGCTCTCGCGAGCTCTCACTCATTTCACTGAGGTCAAACGACTTTGGGGCAAGCGGTTTATGAAAATACTAATCGTTTGCTTTCTTCTGGTATTAAACTTGTTTTTATTGATTGTATAATTTTGTCGGAATAAAGGAAACAAAAAGGCTTGACCAATAACTTATCAGCGTCTGAATTGACCTTTTGACCTTGAATTCCCTGATGCAAGCGCACATAAACACGTAATAATGACGTCATCTTCGCTAAATCGGTGTCGTTTATCGTAAAATGCTACACTTTCACAATGTTTATACATCTTTTTTAATTATTAGTAAAAAATAACATATTTTGTCTGATATCACTGAAGTTTTGGGTTTTATTTTATGAGTTATTTTAAAACAAGAGCCATTTTACTGTTTTAATTTACTGGATCGTACCATTAAAGTCGCAGGGTAGAAAGATGCATTTTCCAACCGCGCCAAATTAATTTACGTTCCGACATTCTGTTAAATGGGTTCGTGTTGGTAAAGGTGAAATTCAAAGAAAATCACAAATATGTCAAATAATGTATCAGTAGAAACTGGTAAGCTAACAGATGGCCATCGTACAAGTTGTAGGTCAATTACATATCGGGTGATTTATACAAATATAAATACAAACAACTAGATAGCAGCTGGGATATACGAGAGATTCGCCATAAAAATAACGATGTTTTAATGACGTCACAATATGGACCAATACTGCCCAAGCAGACGACATCCCATAAAGAATGAACATAATTGCAAAGCTATTAGTCGTCAAATTACAATGAGTTAAGTGTATATAAATTTAATGGCATGTAAAACCATTCAAAAGGGGATATGACCCGATTCTGATAACTAAAATCTTTTGCTTGTAAATACACAGGATAGGGGTTAATTAAAAATCAAAGAAACCAGACTTTAAAATTGAAGAAAAAAAAACCGGAATGATATTAAGGACTGCATTTGTTCCCTCTTGAAACGCCGAACATACCGCGGTGTGCGCAGCTGAATATACAATGGCGTCTTGCTTTATTTACAAGTGACAGATTCCTTTATTTTTGTATGGCTGCATTTGTCATCAAAATAAAACCATGCGCGGGGTTTAGAGTGAAGCAATATATTATACATTGGCCTGACGGTAGTAAAGTAAGAGGCACTGAAAATGTGTGAGATGTCATGGGGCATAGTCTGCTTGTGCAAATCATGCCCATACTGTGATCTCACACATCTCGGCAGCGTTCGGAGAGCTCTTCAGGTGATATGCCGGGGCTGTATTTAAGCGTTTTGTAATTTATAGTAATTGTTACTTTGAATGTTTCCAAGCATTGAATTTTGATAACCTTATCAAATCAAAGTTTCAACTTTGCAATAATGTTTATGCATTTCATTCACCTGTTATTATTCCTTGTACTCCAATTGTTAGAATACAAAATGCAATTTGGTTTTTATAGTTTCATTCAATAAGTAAGACAATAAAAGAGCCAATATGTTCTGCACAATAAAACAATATGTGTCCCTATTGTACAATGTAATGTGTCCCCTCATTTTGTAATAGTTAATTTACCCATTCACATAATGGAACTACCTGCCCGATGAAGCCAGTGGCCCGTGACCCCTGAACACTCAACACCGTGTGGGAGTCAGTTTGTGGTCAACTTCTTTTATGAGACAAATCCAAGCAAACGTTTTCATATGCCCCCCCCCCCCATTCTCCCCGCGTGCATTCTGCCTAAGTAACCTAGTCTCACTCCCTCCTCCCCCTTCCTACCCAACCCTCCTGTCCCTTCCTAACTTCTCTCCCTCTGAAACTACCTAGTGAAAAGAAAAATAGGCTTCTGACATTTAGAGCCTGAATGTGAGGGTAAGAGGGCGTCTCAGGTGGATAATATGCGTAATTACTAATATTTCTTGTTAACCCATTTTGTCGTCTAGATTAATCTAGTACCCAGAAATAAATATAGAATCAAAATCAAAAGGAAATAGCCGAATTAGTATCCCAATTTAAAGCAATGTATATAAACAAAAACAATACCAAGCTTAAATAATAATAATAATATTCCGTCTTTATATAGCGCTCAATACATCGATCCAACGATGTGCCTAAGCGCTTTACAGATATATTATTACCCCGATCATCGGATTCAAGCTTACCCGCACACAATGTATGCACATTTTTTCCACTCCCTGAGGAGCATTCCAGCCATTTGCCATTTTACAAGCGCACACTTGCTCGGCCAACCACATGGACTTTCACATCCTACCGGGTACGCATTTAACGCCTGGGTGGAGAGTAGCAGGTGTAGGTGAATATCTTGCCAAAGGATATTACTGCATTGTCGGGATTCGAACCCTCGACCTTCGCATCTCCAGTCAAGCGCCTTAAACCACTCGACCATGACACTCCCAGCTTTATAAACAAACATATTCCAAAATTACTACATGACAACCACTTCACATTCCATTTTTCCCACTTTGTCAGGTGAAGCGTTAAAGAATTACGTAGAAATGCTATCTTGTTTTCTGATAACTTATCCAGTTCAATCTGGATTAAAATATCATATTCGGTAGGCTGTATATTAATTTTCCTATTTAGAAACAGTAAATATTTTACTATTATTAATACATTGTTTACTAACTATATTTTTCCTCCATCGGGGAAAATCTATTTCGAATTGTATCTCTTCCCAGTTTAATTTTCGCAAATTAACAAAATCAAAGAAAGGACTGCACGTTTCCTATAGCTTCCGAGTAAATTCACACGTATAAAATATGTGCGTATAAGTTTATTCTTCTCTTTTACCTAATGAACATAAGTTAGTATCAATAAACTTAAATTTATATAAGTTAGAAATTGTGTACTCAATTCCGTGCAATAATCTAAATTGAAATTCCCTCGAAATAATGATCAAATGATCACTGAATATAGTTATGATTTTTTTCTTCAAAAAAAATCACAATTATGTTTATTTTTTAGTTTATCCCTCACCAGCCTCTGATCACTTATTTCTTTAACTAATTATTTGTATATAATTTTGAAAATAGTTGTGTCTACATATCTTTTTTTAATATTTTTAATAAAATTTATAAAAAGTCAATTCATTAAGACGTTTTTCTTTATCTAAATCTGTATTTTCTATATTCCACTTCTAACTTCGAGGAAGTAATTTGATTTGATTTGATTTGATTTATTGGTTTCTGCATCTTTTTTTTTTCTTTTTTTCATCATATATTTTCATACACATAATATGGTTAGATACAATATTCAAGTGTATCTAATAGTGTACAGATAATAAATGAAATTAAACAAATATATTGAATACATAATACATAGGCTACATTAGATTCAGGAGGGCTACATAAATAATCAAAGTAGCTTGACGTGCCCGCAGCCCTCAACTTAGATACAACAATAAAAATAAAAATATTAAAGAGTGACTTGCAGAGAAGAAAAGGAAAGGGAATAGAAGGAGCGTTTGTAATAATACAATAAATCTCAAACATCTGCAGATTGAATGCAGGTTCATTCATGGATGGATAAACGAGTGCTTGGTATAGTTTCTAATTTTTTAGTACATCTACATTATCCAATCTTGTTTCTGACTTTAATTTCCCATTACTATCTAACTGAAAATGTTTTTCACTTCCAACATTTTCATGATGAAAATTTTTTTCTCACTTCGAATAAACTTATTATTCAAACAAATATTTTCCCATATAGTTATAGTTTCAACCGAATTCCCTCGTTTTTGCCGATGTTTCTAACAACTCTAGGTTTAATTCCGATACAGATAATTTTATGACGGGAATTAGATAATTACAAGAAAAAAAATATTTACCTTCTACATGTTTGGTAGCGTCTTCAAAATACTGCTTTCATTTTGAGTCCTCTTCCGCCTGAAAAGGCCTTTTTTTCCCATATTCACATGGGCATTCATTAATGATGGGAAATGCATCATTTTTAGCCATCTCTGTTTATAATCTAATAACATAATACTCTTTTTAATCTTGGTTTTTCCTCGCCAAACAAAGTTAAAAAAAACACGTTATTCAAGCTCTCCATATACACATTCTGGCACAAGGGTAAGAGACGCAACATACATAACCATAGGTTAACAAGCTTTACATACAGAATTAAATAAAACATCCACATGCACATATACAAATAGGTTATGTTTATATGTAAGGTAAGAAGATTTAATCCATGCAAAATATAAATGTGTGTAACTGAATCGTACGTAAATTTATAATGCAACAGGATTACTCAACTAATAAAATTAACATATAATGTCTACATAGTTTTACGAAACTAACACATTTACCCACTCTTAAAATCAGGAATAACCGAGACATCACAAGGGATCACAAATTCCACATCTCCAAGACCGTCAGCATCCACACCAGTCGACATTTCTCCTCAAGGTGCATCCGCATGTACTTCTAATGCCAGGTTGGTGCATTCGAATGATTCTTGATTAAAATCTTATTCATGGGATAGGCCAAAACTTAGGGAACAATATCGATATTGTTCTTAAATATCAACTATATGCCAGCCTAGATCAAAAGGGTATAACGAGATTTGTTTGCGTTCTGGTACAACGGTTTTGTATTGTCTCTATCAACGCCCATTGTGACTACAATTCTGATGTGTGTCGAAAGGTGTAAGGGCATGTCCCTGTTATGATACAAGAGGGAAAAACATAGAACATAATAAGATTAGAATTCGACGAAATTATACCGTCCATATCTATAGAGACCCTTGTATATCTATTCAGAATTTAAATGCTAGTATTGATGAATGTCTTCAAAAAAATCCTTGCGAAAATAAGAATATTTGTATTATGGGCGATTTCAACATACATTTTTTTAACGTTAGTTCCGATAATTGTGTCAATAATTTTGTGAAAAATTTATACGATAACTCGTTCCGTCCCTTAATAGACAAGCCCACACGAATTACAACAAAATCTGCAACTCTTATCGACAATATCCTAACTAATATACACGCTTCTCCAATTCAGTCTGTGATATTGTAGAGTTATATTACAGATCACCTGCCCTTATTTCAAATAACTTACTTATACTGTGAACAATGAACCCCTCAAAAACCCTCTACTATCATCAGCCGCGTACGCAGGGAGGGGGGGGGTCGGGGTCGAACCCCACCCTCCCTCAAAATGTGTGTGTGTGTGTGTGTGTTTTGGAAGAACCTCCCTCATTGTGTTTTGTTATTTACAAAATTAAAATAAAATAAATTATGCTAATGGTGACGTAAAAAGGATGACCTTACCCCCCCCCCCCCCCCCCCAACGGAACGAAATGTCGATCGGTCAAATTTACAAATTGCGTGACCAAAAAAAAAGTGCTTTATTAATGATGTACTTGGCAAAAATATAAATATATTTGACTAGTTACTTTATGGAAGATGATATTAAAATAACTGACAACCAAATCATAGTTAAGGAACTTAATTCATTTGGTCGAATATTGCTACTAAGATTAAATCTAACATTGCTAAAGCTTCTACTGATCATTTTTCTTCTTATCTTTCAAACCATTGCCATAACTCCATTTGTTTGAGCCCTACACATGAAATCGAAATTATTAAAGTTGTTAAACAGCTAAAATCAAGGAAAATTGCGGGGTTTGAGATCAAACAAGTTATATATTTTATTACTTAGCCTCTTGTACATATAATATATCTTTTACTTTCTTCTGGTAAATTTCCCAAACACATGGAAACTGGCAAGATCATTACGGTATTTAAAAAAGGAGATCGTCATATATTTTCAAATAACAGACCAATAACGTTACTCTCCTGTCTTTTCAAACGGGAACAGAATGTTGATGTACAATAGACTTATTAGTCATATTGATAAAAAATAATCTGTTAAATAATTTTCAATATGGATTTCTATCAAATTCCTCATGTGATCTTGCACTTATTGTCCTTCGTGATCATGTCCTTAATAATATGAATAATACCTTACACTCACTTGGTATATTTCTCAATTTGAGTAGGGCGTATGGTGTAATTAATCACAATATTTTACTTTCTAAGTTAGCTGAATTCGGTGTACGTGGTATTGCATTTAATTGGTTTAAGGATTATTTATCTGACCGTTTTCATTATACTCCTCACAATAATGTTATTTGTCATCACGGGGGGTCCGGTGTGGAGTCCCCCAGGGCTAGACACTGGGCCTGCTCCTTTTTTTATGAATATAAATGATTTATGTAATGTCTCCTCATTTTTCCAAGTTGTCCTCTTTGCAGACGACACTAATTTAGTTGCTTCTCATAATGATTTTGATATTCTTGTAAATAAGACAAATGAGGAAATTATTAAGATTATAAATTGGTTTCATGCTAATGAATTGGTGATAAATTATGATAAAACTAATGTTATGTATTTTTGTAAAGAACATATAAAACGTAATATTTCCGATGTAAGATTATTTATGATTCAAATCCCTTTAAAGGTACTATGTCCCATTTGCAGGCCAAAAAAATGAAAAAGTTAAATTCCAACTGCATTTGAAAGATAATACTAATTTAGAACTTCCCTAAAAAAGGTGGGGCATGAAAATGTCTGCAAGTGGGAAAATAACGACTATTAGTTGTCAAATCGACTTTAGGGCTATAAAGCCCAAAAGTAATATTCTTGATTTTCAGACAATTTTACTGAATGGTCATACGTTTTATGCTGCGCAAAGATTCAATCAGTTTAATCTTGGCCAAATTGATGTAGACAAATGCTCATGTACCCTTTACAACTCTTTTCATGTATGTTATTACCAAAGAAGAAAAAAGCCAGTCGGTCACTCAATAGTGTCTGACAGTGAAGTCTAGCAAGTAAATGGATTTCCATGCATTATTTGAATATGAGGACACTGCTAACGTTTAAATTTCACAGATAGGGACATACATGACATATTCATAATTCCTGCAAAGTTCTACAGAATTTGAGGTTGGCTGCAAAAGGGACATAGTACCTTTAAGTTGTTCCCAAACAATCAAATTTCTTGGAGTAACCTTAGACTTCGAACTATGTCTCAATAGCCATCTTTCCAAGGTCTCAGAAACTGTAGGAATTCTTTGTTAAGTTCGTGATTTTTTTTCCACTATCTTTGGGCGAATGTTGAAACAACGAAATTGGAACCGTTATACAAATTACAAAAGAAAATGTTGAGAATATGCACAAATTCTTGCTTTAGATCACATTCACGACCATTATTCTTCCGTTTAAAACCCCTAAATATAAATGATATACATGGCATTTAACGCCTGGGTGGAGAGTAGCAGGTGTAGGTGAATATCTTGCCAAAGGATATTACTGCCGTGTCGGGATTCGAACCCTCGACCTTCGATATGGCAAATGGCATTAGTAATGTTTCGTACAATTCATAATATATTACTCATTGCAATGTTTCCTAAATGTTCAACATAAATAGATCGGTCCATATTCACAATACTCGCTCAAGTAAAAATGTCATTATCCTAAAGTTAAAACACAGATTTTACTTAACTCATGAAGACACAGTGGTACACGCGTGTGGAATATTCTTTCAGAGGAATTAAAGAGTTCAACAAATATAACTAATATAAAAGCAAAGTTGAAAAGGGTAATATTGATGATTATTCAAATTATTTTTGTTCCCTTAAATTTACAATTACAATTAACCCCCCCCCCCCCCATCCTCCCTGTATGATTGCTTGTGTTTGTTGGTGTAGTGTGTTACTAATTAATCTACATAATTTTGTATTTTGTTATTGCTATTGTTCATTTCATGTATTTTTCCTTTACTGGGAACTACTCCATTTAAGTTTTATACACTTTTTTGTAGTTTCCGTTTTTTCTCTTTCTATGTATATTTGCCATTGTTGTATATATTATGATATTAAAGCTAAATATATTAATCATTCCGGATTTAATGTTTTAATTCTTGAAAAGAATTAATGAATTGAACTGAACTGAACTGAACTGAACTATTCCCTCCAAAAGATACAGAATAATACAAATAACTGCATTGAAACTTAGTGCTGTAAACATAGGTAGGTAACTTATGTGTTAAAACGTTACGATCTTAATTGTTTTTACTCATATATGTTTTTTGTATATAACTACACAGGAAAGTGAGCGACGAAATGCTAAATAGCTTGGCACAACACGTTCCAACCTACGCTTACAACAAGTTTAGCGGAAAGCTTGGAATCGAGCATAACCAGGCCGGGAACATTTTGGATAAGTATAAGAGCGACTATGAGAAGGCAACGAGGGAATGCCTTGCGAAATGGATGGATAGATCAAACCGTGATGTTGCTGACTTACATGAAGTTCTGAGAGCAGTTGATCTAGGGGGTTTAATTATTTACTGTAACTAATACCGATAAAAGGGAAACCATGTGGGGGAACAAATGTTGATCAACACACACACAAACACTCATGAATGCATATTAGAATGTGCGTATATTTCAGAGAAATTATGTTCGGCGACGGAGGAGATACGAATACGACCAAAAACACAATAGATAACTATAATAACTAAATGTCCAGTTACTATCGTATAGTTAAATTACCAAGATACTAGCCAAAAGTAGTCGAGGGAATATCAAAACGGAAGAAAAAAGCACTTTCGGCTTTTTCGTATGGAGAAGGTGTGTTTAGTTTGTGAAGTAGTAGCAAGCAAGCCCTTCTTTTCGATTTTGGCCCTCTGCTAAATAATAGGTTAAATAATATTTAGCCCATCAAGCTTCTTCAGGTTTTGGACAATAATATATATTGATGCGTCAATGCATGAATGTCATCGTTGTATTCTCCTTTTCTTTGATAAGGAGACATGTTTTGAATGATTTTGATTAGGTTATCATTCATGAAGTACAATGTGCTGTTTTTGGTAGACGTATTTGATTGGGAGATTGTAATCCAAAACTTAGTCCATCCTCCAAAACAAATGAAGAATTCACTGATGACAATAACAATGCACTTGCAACGTTTCACTTTTGACTTGGCCACATGTTCAGGTGTACTGTACATTCCATGATTACGTAATTGTTATAAATGGACCATCATTGTAAAAGGGGAGTTAACAGGTATTGCAATTATACGAACGTAAAGTAAAATGATATTATAATAATTAACAAGAAATATATCAACGCTCAAAATTGAATTGAATTTAGCGTTGATATCCATTCTTATTAATAGAATTATATTATAAATCATAGTTGTACAACATTTTACGATATTTCATATTTTAAATTTAATTTTCTGGTTTTACATATCATGTCATGTATTGTAGTCTAATGAAGCCTCGTTCAGGTATGAAGCGTTAAACAGCGGCATCATTCTTTATTAAAGAAGTGTAACACGCTTCACATTTCCGTATCTTATAACACAGAGGTGAGAGCTAGCTACCTGTTCATTAACATACTTGTCATTGATCCGCGGTTTTGGGGGCGGTGTGGTTGTAGCGCTTGTTTACCGCGGCATATCGGAACAGGCCTTAAAGGTGTATAAATCTCCACAGCCTTGATTTTCGTTTCGATCGTAAATCGAACGTTTGCCCTACCACAATCCAGCTTTTCGAGTTTCGTGAAATTACATGTAACTCCACATATCTACGCTAAATATTCAATCTAAATGTTATTGTGCAGGCCCAATAATATCCACAAAATGGAATTGGATTTCATTGCAGAAACTCTTCAAGTTACCCTGATTCATTGTTATGTATACGTTTCCATTATCCTAAATATGTTTTACTAAAAAATTAACTCTTGGGAATGAGTGTGCGATGGCTCAGTTGTAGATAAATTGTCTCGTAACCAGAAGATCCAACTTTCTAAGTCGACGCGCAGGCACCTTTTGATATGGCATTACTTCTCATTACCAAGTCCTTGGAAGAGGACTTTAGGCAGTCGGTCCCCTGGTTGCTTACTTACACAAGCTTTCCTAGCAGCCAGGTTAAACCAAACAACAAACCAATTGACATTAGTAATGTAATTTAGCGTTACTGGATTAATCGTAATCTTCATTACATCTACATTAACTTTATGATTGATGTTATAATGTCAATAACATCACATCTAACTGTATATATGATATATATTATGTATGTTCATAAGATTTACACAGTCCATGATGTTTCTCCGGTGAATATGTCTTAAATATTATCACACTTTTAGTTTAGATTAATATGCATAAGTCTGCAGATTATAATAGTGAATCTTTAATGAGTACACCATATATATTTTGCACAGATTTTTCTGCAAAGTTTTGCACAATATGCAAAATAACTGTCATGAGTTCTTGGACAATTCAATGGTCAAATACAGGAAAAATCGATATTTTGACATACACTGTATACAGTTTTTACAAATGAGTAGGTAAGGTTTTCATGAATATTCAATATGTTGTTGTTCTAATTCAGAGAGTTTTTGTATTTAAAACAGGAGAGAAGGGATAGTTCGATTAGAGTAGTCGTGATAGGTACAGTTGCTAGAGGAGGTGGAAATCTGTCTGATCTATATAGCAGATTGCATATCATGCGCACAGTGCATCTGTTCACGGTTTGGTAATATTATGTGTGCAGGGCCGTGTTCTGAGTTTTGCCCTAGTGTTGTGTTTCACCTGTTTATCTGGGGAAAAGTAATTTGTTTTCCTTGATTTTAGGAGTTTCTTTCGGTTTTTATTACTGAATACTGTATATTTAGTGTGCACGATTTGGTGCCGGTATCATTTGTATAAGGATTTTGCCGTTTTTGAATAATTTATTATATAAATGAGGAATTCGATGAGTAATTATTTTCATTTTATACATTGTAAGAATGTTGTAATCCTTTTTTATAGTTATTGATAATGATGTGAACTGTCATGGACTTCTGTTCATTCGATCAGTTGGTAAATCAGTCTGAGTTCAGCAGACTGTTGCGTCATATTAAGATTTGTGATCTGGGGAGCTAGAGGATGTGTTGTAGCTGTACGGTTGTTGGTGTTGCGCAGTGATCAGCTGAGAATGACCGGATTAGAGTCCAATTTCAATTGCATCAATCATTTGTTGGAGAGTTGTTGAAATTAATGTTCATTAATATACTTTTAAAATGCTTTAAAGTGAACCGTTTTGCATTGTTGAAGTTTGTTTGAAAAAATGCGTACATTTTGTATGAATTTTGTATATTATTCTACTGTAATCACCCTTTAAAATACAAAAAGTCTTGAAAAACAATCTAAAACCACAACGATATTTATTGTTTTCTTTGAAGGCGTCACTGTACAACAACCTCTAACAATAACTTTTCCCAACCAATTTTAGAATTTTCCCAAACGTTTTCCGTGAAAATAAGACATAAAACAGGCTTTTAAAAATATGTAAACACTTAAATGTTTGGAATGGTATATAGAGCCAATTCATCGCTTTAATTGTGACGATTTACATTCACCTAAAATTGTATTTAATTATAACAATATATTTGTAGAAGTAATGAATCGATCTGATCTGTTTTTTCCCAATTTTTATCATTAATAATGGTCTGTTTTCACTTAAAGGTAAAGACCAGTAATGGTCATGCGATTGCATTGTGAAAGAAACGTTGTGGAATCGATCAGAAAAGGTTGATCATCTAGCATCTAGCATCTGCAAGGTTCTGGAATCATCAAAATGATAAGAAATTTGGCCCATTCTTCGTAAAGTTACAAGCACTATACACAGAAAGATGTATATGGGACTACCCTATATCTCTCACACGACCATGAGAGAAACAAATTTACCAAATATATGAATTAGTAGGCGGTTTCCCGGCAAATTTGTTATCATCATGTATTAGTCAAAACATATTCTTTCACATGATTGGTAATGAGAGCTTCCATTTCATTTTTTGAAATTGGGGCGTTTCCAATACTGGTCTTTACCTTTAAACTTTCAAATTATCTTTAATTGTACATCTGGCATTGAAGTCACTATCTAATTTTCTCTCATCTGAAGAATGTCACCAAGTTCTTTTAAGGATATATCATAATGTGGTATGGTAAAACCATGAGATGATTAGTATTATATGCATGTACTGTCAAGATATTATTGTGACAGTTTACATAATCTCACCTCACCAAAGGGTCGTTGTGTTAATGTCTCATGGCAGAAAAGGCAAGAAACGTCAACTCAGTATTTTGGGGTTGGGAACATTTATTTTGTTTGCAACAGATATATTATTATTATTATTAGGCTTTTACCTACGCTATTCATAGTACACTATATCACAGCGCTTACAATAATATGCAATATAACAATATAACCACAAATCTTAATGGTCATTTATCATTAACCCTGTGGTTGCCTCACGTATTTGTAAGTTGTCAATGATGAATGTGTTCCTGCAAAATGACTGCTTATACATGTTATTTGAGTCTATGTACTTGAATTTATGATTGTCATTTTTCAAATTGATTCGCAGGGTTTTCACGTTTCCCTAAATATAATTTGAAGAAATAAACGAGTTTAACACCCACATTCAGGCAACGACCGGATCATTGATTTTCTTCATTAGCGTCATAACCCTGATAACCAAAATAGTTGATATAGCTAATATAGTTTGGAGGACTCAGAGAGAGAAGAACTGCTGATTGATTCATTACTCTTCTTCGCATTATTCACTTTAACTGGCAAAGAAAGCGAAAATTAATAGACATTTAGAGAGAATTTCCACAATTCGACAATTACATTTCACTTATCATCCGGTAATGTATTTCTCTCGTCAATAAAAGCAAATGCAAGAGTTGTTCTCATCACATCACACCTAGAGAACACTTTAATTGCAATTATTGGGGAATGGATTTTAAAGATTTCCAGATTTTTTTATTATTATCCAGTTCGTTCAATTTTTACAAACGTATATGTTTAAGATTTCTACTTTCCTACATATATGCTGTTTAGTTATGGATATTCTATGCCAGTTCCATCATCGTGTCAATAAGCTTACGGATGTACATATCCTTTTTGCACTGTATTACCAAAAATGTTAACAATATTGTTTAAGTTATAGAATATACAGTTAACAAGTGAGTTTGTCATCCTCCCCGCAAATGTGATGTGTTTTTTTGTCGGGGGGGGGATCTCTGAACTCAAGAATGAAGGGTGGACTTAGGGCCCTTTTTAAATTACTTCTAGATGTAACCTTTGGTAAAGTACATTTTCAAGAAGCACAATCTGGACAAGTCATGTTTTTACATACTTACAAAAAGTAGGAAACTTGGTAAGAGGTTTAATTATTTAGTTAAATGTAAATGAAGTGTAAACTTTTTAAATGAATGAAAATATTACAGTTTAATTGTTGAAATATCTTGTTTTCATGTTTGCACATTGTTGTGTTGAAATTGTAATACGAACAGTAAAAACTTATAAAACATTTCACCTTGAAAATGGTCCAGACTGTATAATTGTTAATATGTAATATCCCCCCCCCCCCAAAAAAAAAAAAACCATCAACAACAACAACAAAAACACTTAACAGCTTCAAAGTATGAACCAAAACATTAAGAACGCTTTTCAATGGAACATGATTTGCATATGTAGGCCTATGTTATCAAATGTTATACTGAAAGCTAACTTTGGCCGACAAATTCATTGAAAACTTTACTGTATATAGATGAAGGTGATGATGGTGAAGGTAAGGGTGATGACGGTGGTGGTAGTGATGATGCTAGTAATGATGATTGTGGTGATGATGGTGGTAATGATGACGGTGATCATGATAGTAGTGATGATGGTGGTCATGATGATGATGATGTGGTAGTAGTGATGATGATGGTGGTGATGATGATAGCAGTGATGATGATAGTATTGATGGTAGTAGTGATGATGATGATGATAGTCATAATGATGGTGGTGATGATGATTATGATAGTCATGATGATGGCGGTGATGATGATTATGATAGTTATGATGATGGTGGTGATGATGATTATGATAGTCATGATGATGGTGGTTATGATGATTATGATAGTCATGATGGTGGTGATGATGATGATGTTGGTTATGTTGATGGTAGAAGAGGTGAAGACCAAATTTGTGAAATGCAGGTTTTTCGGGTAAAGCAACTAATTATAACCAGCTTTTTTCCTTCTTCCTTCTTATGTTATTTATTCTTTCTCTTCTTCTTCTTCATCTCGTTCTTCAAGTTAAGACATCACACATGCACTCTTTTATTTAAGATTATTTGGTGATCTAAGTTCGATAGAGTACATTGCTGACGATGTTGCTGTGGTCCGATTTTTCTCTACACTTTGGATTGAAAATTTTAAATAACGCTTTATATATAATCATAATCATTATCCTGTTCAAACTTAGAACTTAAACTTGATAGGTAGCTGTACCACCGTAAACCCAAACTTTTAAACTACATACCCACTATCATGCTTCAGTTGGGCATAAAGGGGGTATTGGTGCAGCATATTATTAAGAACAGCTGGAAAACACACATTGGGGTTATGCTTGGAGTAAGATTTGGGGTTAGGACTATAGGATTAGGGTTAAGACTAGGGTTTGGACTAGGACTAAGGTAAGGTTAAAGGTACTCTGTGCCATTTGCAGGCCAAAATAATGAAAAGGTTAAATTCCAAAGGCTTTTGAAAGATAACACTAATTTAGTACTTCCCTCAAAACGAAAGGGCTTCAAAACGTCATTTTGAGGGAAAATAACGACCGTTAGTTGTCGAAACGATCTCAGGGAATGCAATCGTTTTAGTAAATACTCTGATTTTCAGACCCTTGTACCAATTTAAATAAAATAAATTAAATACTCGTTTGAGTCGTGTATTTTTTCTCTTATACTCAAGCGAGGTTTTTATTTCCATTATTTCAATACATATTTCCATTAATAACTCAATGATTGAGTGAAACATAACAAAGGCTAAAAAAAAAGTATATTTAACAATTCTTTCAGCTTAGTGTTATTGTCTTTGCTAACACATTCATATTTAAAAAATATTCTGAGCAATGAGTTGAAGAAAAAAAAAGGATGTGGGTAATAAACAGAACCATTAATAATTTTCTTAACGTAACATTTATAAATTGCATATTGCGCATAATTTAAAAAAATATTCAGAAGAGAATATTTCTTGTTTCAAATGTCTTTACCTACAACTAATATCTTTTAGTCTATTTGTTTTTCTTTTTGGAATAGGTTAAATATCAAATTACATATTATTTTCCAAAACAAAGTCACATCCGTGCAATTTTACATAAAGTGAAAAGTTGAGTCAACGTGTACACAATTTGCCATTGATATAAGTTTTCTTTTGAGGCAATAAACCTATGAATCATCTTGAAATTAAATTGTTTAACTTTATTATTACAAATATGCTTTAATTTAAATAAAAATACATTCTTCTAAACAAAGTCATTATCCACATCTAAAAAAGAATTCCAGAAGTAAATGACATTTGGTTCTTTTGACTTTCTATGTATCAACAAACGATAGTAATCTTTAACTTTCATAACAAAAGCATTCACTTTATCCCCTGTTTCTATTTCTATAAGATTCGAAATATCACATTCGTGTTCAAAATCATTTACATAAGTAGCTTAATCTATGTAACCAAAACTGCGGAAATGCTTTCTTTAATTTTGTTTATTTCAAATAAAAAAGAGCTATTTATCTATTAATTTAGAGTCATTCAAATACCATTTGTAATTAAATTATGAATTAAACAGCTCGTACATTGCGTATTTTGGGGTAGTTAAACAAAACATACGCCTGACAACTCTACCTGGCATCACTTACCACCCCTCCTCTTCCATGCACACCCGCCCCGTCTCCACCAAGCCCCCGCCCCACCACTGAGCTTTTCGGACATCACTGCTCCGGACAAGAATCACCATCGCATGTTCCAGTGCTATGAGCAGCTACTTGGTCGGCTAACATCGTTTTCAGCTTCGACAGCTCAACTAGAAATAAAGAAAATGAGTGATGATGTCATCAGTTAAGTCGTGTATAATAGGAGACAAACACACAGAAGATATGAGAGAGAGAGAGAGTGAGAGAGAGGGGGGGGGGGAGAAGCTCTTGAATTTGTTCTTGTCTTTTACTAAATACGATTATGGTTTTATTCGTTGTCATATAAAGATGTCGAACAGAAGAAAATAATTGTTATTGCAATGCGGAAGTTTATCATCAATCATAATAAAGGTCGCAATCATAAAAAGATAAACACGTCTTAAAGTTTAGATTATAAAACATCATGGAAATTACCATGTCATTTAAATTCTTAAATTATGCATACACATGAGATGAAGAAACTACCATGGCTATATTGAAGCATATCTATGAAGAAAGAAAATAAAGCAAATAAGAAATCACTGTAATCTATGAACACCCACATGATTGGGCCATCATCTTCGGAAAGATTGTGGTCCAGAAGTGACATCCCTTGGCTTTCATCACACCTTCCTTTGTAGGAAATCCAGAATCCAATTCTTCGTTGTAGCGTTCTCCATATTTAAACGGTTGCCATTCCTCAAGATCGAGCGGGTTATTGGCTTCCTTTGGATCTTGAGTTGATAAATTGGGATTCCTGGTAAAGAGATCATTGAGAGAATCGGGGACAACCATGTTTTACAGGGGGCTTCAAGAAAAACCTCATAACTCAAAAAACGGGAGACAGTCGTGAAACTATTCCACAGGCACCCAGGAACGATTGTTTTTTCACTGGAGCTGCTGCAGGGTGGACAAAGGGATATTTGATAATAGGGATAATATATATAGTTTCTTTTCGATTAAAAAATAAATATTTTACATAACTTTTACTGTATCCTCAGCATTCACCGAGCACAACCCAGCACGTTCCTCGTATCCAAGTACTCCAGCACCCTAGCACCGGCCCCAGAAACCCAGTACCCCAGCAACTTATAGTAGCACACCAACAACTCCAGCACCCCAAGTGAACTAATTAGCTGTGTTTTAATCAGCCCCCCTCAACCCCCCCCCCCCCCCCCCCCCCTCCGGACAAATGACAATTTTGTGAGATCTAGGTCTTTAAATTCTATACTTATAGACCTATGAAGTTGCGAAAGAACTATGTCTATATAAAACTGTCTTCCGATACCTACATCAAGATAAGCCCAATTAAAGTAATTAAAACGTTTTGGGCTGAAGAAGCATAAAAGTTTTACCCTGTTTTTGCGAAGTTAGACCAGTATCGCATGATCTGTCTGGAAAAGGCCGCCTCCTCGGCCCCATCGGAGAATCCAGACATGCCCCTAGGAACATATTCCCTCTTATGCAGTAGAGGACCGCCCCCAAAAATCGGGATATCATCTTCATCAGTTAGTCCTGCCCATATCGGAGGAGAAGGGTGGTGTGTCGTAGGGTAGCGGTAGACCGTTTTACCCGCCGTTGACAGCAGATTGGCGAACGGATTAACAGGGCAAAGGAGTATAGAAGTGAAAGCGTCTGTCAACTCCTTAAAGTAGTCAGTTTTATCTCCTGTAATCTTTATTTATAAAAAAAATATGCCTCAGTTACAGACATTGCATCATTGTTAAGATTAATATTTATAATCTACACAGGGATTGATATGAGGAACAATGACAAATTTGTCATGTCATGTACGCAGATTCCGGATTTATCGGTAATCATTATGAAATTTATCTATGCTATTGCGAGAAATTACTTTATTACGCAAGCGTTCGAACAAAATCACCAGTGACCAAGGAGAAAACTAACATCCAATACCTGTACAAAAAATGATTTTATTATTGGAAATACTTTGTCCTATCAGCTTAATTGAAATTTTCCGCTGGTGGCAGACTTCTCCGATAAACAAATTTTACATCGACAGTGGATTAAAGAGACCGGGAATAGATATATATTATGCTTCAGCTTTGAGAGATCATAAATGATGTATACATACATGTGCCGAGTCAGAGAGCTCAAAGACAATCGTATCTTGAATAAGCGGATCATCAATCTTGAAGGAGTTCGCAAGATGATTCTTGAAGTCGTCGAGAGATAAAACAGGAGGAGGGAAGTATCCACGGGAAGCGAGTCTGCCATAGATGGTGAAACAGAACCTTTCGTTGAGTAAGTCCCCATGGAGGACGTTATCAACGTTGAGATGTCCTTGCTGCATCAGCTTGAGTGGTGTGTCGTGTAAAAAGTGCCCATCCACAACGGGGGTGAATTCTATATGACGTGCGTGCTATCAGATGAAATTATAAAATAGTGATTATTTCGTCGAATTATCGCGTTTTTTTTAAAGGCAAAACCATCAAATATCGTTAAATAGATCAAAAAAGGTGTCCCCTCTGAACTTGAAAAAAAGGGGTAGGAATGCAGGTGCATTATGGGACCCCCTCTCCCAGCTCTATCCAAGTCTGATGCCACATTCCATTCAAAGATGATTATCGTCATTAATACAATCATAGCTAATCAACATTGAAATGCAAAGTTGTGGAATGCTCACACAAATTTCGCATATGTACACTATAGAAGAAGTGCTCCAGAAACTGTTGGATTTACCCAATATTAATACTAAAATAAAAAAAGTTTTTAAACCCTATATTGGATGATGTTTTACCGAACGAACATGCATGTTCCCCTTTTTCGCCTAATATTGGGTATATCTTATTTAACTCTCCATAGAGTGTAGCTGTCAGAAATATCTTCACAAATTTGGTAAAAAATGTTTATAAAAAGTTGAATAGAAAACGATATATAATACTTTCCTAGAAACATACAGGGTATTCATAATACATGTACAGTACATACCACGTTCATAAAAATATATCCATCCTTCAATTCTTCCAATGATCTTCCTCTCAAACAATCCACAAGATCCTTGCTGTTGTTGAAGTCACATCCGGCTCCTTTTCCAAACTCGAATGTCTTCTCGACGAGGTCGGCATAACCAATTTCACAAAGGGCGTTCCCACTCTAGAATAAAGTTAAACATCGTGCAGTTTCTTATTCACATTTCCTCCCATTTAAAGGCGTGGTCACACCGAAAAAAATGACGCATTTGTGCCACGACACTACAGACAATTTGGGCAAATCATGGGTCATCGGGAGAACCGTGGCATCAACTTGCCATCGTGAGGCAAAATTAGACATGCACCTTTTTTGTCCGACGATTTTCTTTTTTGGTGGTATCTATGTCTTGTGGGTGTCGTGAGTCTGTCTTACGACTGTCGTGCGATAAATATATAGTCGTGGATACCAGAACAATTTGTTAAGTGAAACAATCTTACGACTGTTGCAAGGCTATCCTACGACTGTCTCACTGACAGTTGCAAGATTGTCTCACGAATATTATATTTCGTAAGAGGCTCGCACGACATTGCTATTCTGTCGTGCGTTAGATCTTGCGTTAGTCTTGCTACATATTTCTTCTTGGGAGGCATCCTGGGTACAAATTCGGTAGAGCTGTTTTCCACTGAAAAAAATCTCGAGAGCAACTTGACAGGCAACAGACCAGGCCTCATTATTTAGTTGGGAGAGTGAACCACGACCTGATCACGTGAAAACAGCCCGGCCGACAATACCCGACAACTCGAGACGGTCCCACGACTGTCGAACGACTGAAATGTCTTGCGACATGCACACACACGACATGTCTTTTTTCTGACGCGTCCCCTTCTTTAAACCATCTTTAATGTGTCGTAGCCCTTGTGACCACTCAAAATAGATTTAGGGCATGTCGCAGGGTCTGGCTACGACACATACTTTAAAGGTCTACCACGACAACATTTCGTACTGTCCGTTATAACCGAGGGATCACTAAAGGGCAATTCCGTACCGTACGACATTATGTCATCTTTCAACGTATTTCATCTAAAAATGATGAAGCTCTTGATATGGCGTTGAATATTGGTGCTTTCTGGTATCAATATACCATTAGCCAAAAATGGCATTTGTAAAACAACAAATAAATGTTATATTACCTTCTAAATTATTTAGGGGCTACGAAGCGATGCCCCCGCCCGACAAAATTATATGATATTCGTGCCGGGGGCATTACCCCAATATCGTTCAGTAGGTCTTAAGGAAGCCCTGTACTAAAAATAGCATTTGTACAACAACAAATAAATGTTATATTACCTTCTAAATTATTTGGGAGCTACGAGACCACGCCCCCGCCCCACATCATTATATGATATTCTTTTCGGGGGCTTCTACCCTAATATCGTTCAGTAGGTCCTAAGGGAGCCCTGTACCAAAAATGGCGTTTGTACAACAACAAATCAATGTTATAAAATTATTTGGGGGCTCCAAAAGACGCCCCCGCCCCCACACCCTTAAATTTAATTTGTTGCGGGGAGCTCCAGCCTAATATCGTTTAGTAGGTCCCAAGGGAGTCCTGTACCAAAAATGGTGCTTTTATCCGGCAAGTAACGATAATCGGTAAAATTGACGCTAAGCCACCTGACTATATAGTTATATTTAGCGATTTTTCATGGATTTTATGGATAAATGTCATTTGTCGTATGAGACTTATACATGTAATAATGATGTTAATAAACAAATTGTATGAAGCGCTTATCACTTAATGTGCGAGAGAGAATGAGAAAGATAGAAGGAACAAGAGGAAGAGCAGGAGGAGGAGAAGCAGAAGGAGATGAAGAAACAGAAGAAGAACTAGAAATGCAATCGTGTCACAACGATGTGCGTGCAATGACGCCATGTTTCTACGTGTCAAACGAAAGAGCTTCTCTCGCCCTATCCGCAGCAATATGTACGAAGTCTGTAGCTTCTGTGATATTGGAGATAGGTTGGGCGAAAGAAAGGCCTCAACAGTGACCTTGATGTGATGGTAGTGACTATGCCTACGAAGTTTGAAAGAAATTGGGATAGGGGAAAGGACGTAGAAAGGGCTCGCAAGCACTGCGTGCAAAAACCAAGGGGATTTGGTGCATGTTCGTCATTGCAATACAGATCGTTCTGGGGGTCAAAAGCGTGAACCCGACATGCCCCATAGACAATGCGTGTAATGCATGAGCGGAAAACGTACAGGATCTGTATTATGACCGGAGTTAAATTGTTTTTTCTCTCTCTCTTTATGTCTCCTTATGGGCCTTATTTGGTATCATTAGAAAGAAAATTTCATGATTGTTATTGTAAACTACTCTTTTTTTTTCTATGATAATCCTATCGAAACACGTGATGTAAAATAGATTTATAGGACAAAATGGCGTCTTAAATGGCCCTATTGACACATTTTAAAAATCCGGCCATGAGGTGCCCTGCGTATTGGAACTCGGCATGTCACTGCAAATTTTCAAGGAAAAAAAAGGCGTTTAAGGGGCGAAAAGCAGTCTGAAAAAATGACGTCATAGCCGATACGTGTTAGATTCGGGCGGAAACTCGGCGGAATTCTTGTAGTGACCTTTGTTCAAATGCGATTTATTCACAATTTTCTGTGTGAACATATACTATACTTGGTATCATTCGAAAGGGCACTTCATTGCGGTCAGTTTAACACCATTGTTATTTTCGCGCAATGTATTGCACGCATTAAACGCGCTATTACGTAATGCATAGCAAATTCATCATTTTTGGCGATAACTTTGCGCTGACATATTCGAATTTTACAAAACTTGGCGGACAGTTGTTTCGTATATGGATACATATGTCTGCCAAGTTTCATTGATGTAGGTATAAAGATCGCTAATTTAGAGCAATTTGAAGTTATTTCTCAATTTTCTTGAAAATGGCGAATTTGGAGGGCATTTTTCGCAAAGTCGGTCAATGTTAGGGTATATAATTTTGTATATGGCTGGAAAGGGCATATCTTCAAGTATCTAAATCCAAAAAAGGGTACGGGTTTGCCGAGCCATAATGGAGATACGGCCACAGAAAGAAAGCCAATTCCCAGAACTTTAGAGGGCACTTTTTATGTTTTGCAATGCCATTGGAGCGTGAAATTTGGCATGGCTATGTGCAATTATGAGATAAAGATACTGTGTGATTTAAATACAAAACGGAATTTATATGAGAAAGTTATGGCAGTTTTAGATTATGTAGGGGTCAATTTTAAAGATTTTTGACGGTGTCGGTTTCAGATTTGAATTTTGAGTACGAAGATGGCATTTTGAAGGGCAGGTTATGCGTCGCAGATGAAAGAACATCTCTTAGACTATCTAGAGGAATTTGTTACAAATGTGTAGGATCTAGGATAGAGGAGATAGGAAGGAAGAAAGAAAGGCCTTTAAATTGGACCAGAAACGGACAAAATGGCGCCTTGACGGTCATGCATGAGTGATTTCGAAAATCGAAAAAGTAGGTGACCTTGATGAGATGCTAGAGATGATGCCTACAAAATTTAAGAGGAAAAGGACATGAGAAAAGTACCTAACTAGGAATAACAAGCACTACGTGCAAAACGAATACGATTTCCGGACGATGAGGAAAACAAGGAGGAGAACAAGAATATTAATGGGGCAGAATGTGAACGAAAACAAGGCAATGACGAAGGTCGTCATTGCAATAAAGGGGTCGTCTAAGTAATAACACATCAACAGTTGGCATAAGAACGTTCTCTATTGATTAATATATATACGTTTAACATTCTACGATATACATATTACATCAGCTTAAGCTCACTGCTTATGATTGGTCTACTGCATGTATTTATTTTGAATATTCAAGTTGAATTATTGTCACATTTATATATTATTATTGTATAACTGTTCTAATTTCATTGTTTTCTTCTTTTAATTTTATTGAAAGAAATGCTCTGTGTATATTTCATTTTGATTTTGTTAATAAATGCAGAAATAAATCTGCCTTAAAAAAATATTATAATAACGATACCACAGTCACATCACAAAACCGACATCAAACCGACCAATGATGACTAAGGAATGTTTAGTTAAATCTGTTTTTGGTTTGGTGTTGGTCTTGTTGGTATGACTGGAGTATTAACTTGTCTAGCACCCTGAGAGCAAGGGACACACCTGCAGTATAGCACCTCTGAAAAGTCCTGCACTAAGCGGTGATACAAGATGAAAATTAACACTCGCACCTCCAGCGCTCTCACCAAATATAGTTACACGTCCTGGATCACCTCCAAAAGCTGAAATGATTAAATGTTTGATAAAAGTAGAAGAAAATGAAGTTCTTTGACAAACTCAGTACTGGGGCTGAATGGTCGGTTCCATGCTAGCCTTTTGACAAGGCCTCGTGACTCTGGCTATTTTCCACCCCAATCAGCGGCTGAGATGAACCGAGAGACCCAGAGTGAACGCGCGATCGAGTTTTTCGCGATTAGTCTCTTTTTAGTCTATCAGACATGTGACCTTGTTTAAAGGCTAGATCAATGCAGGATCGTCAGAGATCACAGACATTATTCTTCGAATTTACTTCCTCGGATTGGGGAGGGGAGGGGAGTGATAAAAAAACAAAAATATACTCCTAAGCAGGGGTGAATTTTCCTCCCGGGAACATGATCACGGGAGTCCAAGGGCCGGATATGGAATTTGATTGTTCGCCAGATTCAGTTTAAGTCATTAATCTTTTTCCTGTATAACGCCATGGGTTCGAAAATCTAAAATTCCGAAAAGCCAGTATTATACTTCCAGTTTTATTATATTATCACTTTTGATAGTTATAGAAACATTCGATTTATACCTGCTATGTTTTCTTGAACCCATTTGAGTGCTTCTCGTTGATCAAACAAACCAAGGTTGGCTGGAATTTCTCCGTCACCTGTTAAAGTCAGAATGATTTAGAAGTAAGGCGAACTTTTTTCTGAAAATGAAGATATAAATGTCACTTTTATTTCATTTAAATGACCTTCGTGAAAGGAAATGATTATACGATGTTCAATTGTTGATTTAAAGGGGATGGAGGAGGGACATCCCCACATTTTTGTTTATGTATTTATTTATTAATCTTTTTCTCAAATCCTGGAGCTGTGACTGGACGACAGACACATGCGAGTTTCCATTTCCTCCTCCTCCTAAGCAAGAATAGAGAGGGTGTCGGATCACATTTTGTTCTGGACCTCGATATAGAAAGGACGGATCCATCATATGTATGGCTCTGAATAGAGTTATCCCCTGTTTTATTACTGAGAAGTATAATCATTTGTTTATGTTTATATTTTTTAGGCCTATGTTGGTTTATAGGTATATACATACAAAACGACGAATCCACAACCTTAATCTTCTCTTCTTCACCATTCTCTTCCAATTATTCTCTTTCTCCTATTTATCCCGTTCTTCCTTCTTCTTCTCCTCCGTCTTTTATTTATATACTGATTATGGTCAATGGTGACGATGATGATGAAGACGATGATTATTATGATGACAATGATACTGAATAGATTAATAATAGTAATAATAATAATGACAAGAACTATAATAGAGTCTAATGATAACGATAATAATAATAGTAATATTGTTGTTGTTGTTGTTGTCCTTATTGTTAGAAAACAATAGATGTACCAGCTGCAACAGTAGTAGTGGTAATAGTAGTCCTAGTACTAGTAGTAGTGGCGGTGATGGTAGTATATAGTATCAGCATCGTTATTATCATAAATTCACCCCCCCCCCCATATCTCTCTCTCTCTCTCTCTATCTATCTATCTCCCTTTTCTCCTCTTTCCTCCCGCCGTCCATTTCTTCTCCACTATATAGGCCCTATCTCACCTGTATTCAAGAATCCCAGCATTCCAAGTCGATAATTGAAAGAGACGACAATGACTTTTCCATAAGATGATAATGGTATAGGAAGTTGTTCAGATACAGATCCTGCAACTGCGTAAAACCCCTCTCCATGAATCCACACCATCACAGCCGCTGAATTGGGCTGTAATATTACGAAAGAAATAGATGTTACTCGATTCTTCCTAGCCATTTTTGTTTCTTTACTTGCCCGTGGTGACGGCGCAAAGACATCCTCACCATTACAGCTACGTTACCGACTCTGGATATTTAAAACCGTGGCTGATGCTGCTACGATACATTAATGTTTATCGAAAAGATGGAGGTACTAGAAACTTATGACGAATAAACCTCTAGGCCTATAACCCTCAAGGAGAATTATGTCCCTTACATTTCAATGTTTGATTATTGTCATATTTATATCAGTCAATAGTACCATACCTAGTATACCTAGTATCTGGTACTTAATGTGTGGTATGTACCAGTGGCGGATCCAGGGGGGGGGCCGCCCCCCCCCCCCACCCCTTGAGAAAGAAATCATGTAAAAACACGTGATTTTTTACCTTTTGGGGGGGGGGGTTGCTGAGCGAATTTTCGGCCGGCGCGATTTACAAAGTTTCGGGAGCAGGAAAAAACAAAAGTGGGCCCCCTCCCCTAAGAAATCCTGGATCCGCGCCTGGTATGTACATTGAATTACTATTTAATAGTAAGTTGGAATAAGGTAATATTTATGTAAATGTTAATGATTGTCATAGTGCTGTAATATGCCGACGAGGTTCAGGAGAGCATGTTGTATAATATACATCTACAGGGGCGTACGCAGGATTTTTTCGAGGGGGGGGGGGGGAATCGCGCCGAAAATTTCGCAACGACTCAGCCAGCCGCTGAATAAGCGCGGGGGGGGGGGGGGGATAAGAGCCCTTTTTTGGTCCCGAAAATTTGAAAATTTAGCCGACCGATAGTTTGTTCAGTTGGGGGGGGGGGGTAAGGTCACCTTTTTGGGTCAACCTTTTGCGTACGCGCTTGTGCATCTACATGCTATGACATTTGTAACGAGAGGCTCAAAGTACTAGTTACCAAGAGCTGTCGAATTACGGAGTTTTGGTGACTGATTAAAATACTGAAAACTTTGGCCCTTTTCTCATTTTATACATTATTAACTGGTTCACGTAACACTGGTACCACTGGTTAGTCATACATGTATTTTCATGAGTTACTTGTGCCATTATATACGAGTCTGCGTATACTTACGTACTACCTTTTTAATGATGGAGAATGTAGGGAAGGGGAGGGAAGGATGGCTCTCACTCTTATATAATTATAGCTAACAATAAACAGTCCCTACCAGGGGCGTAAATCCGTACCGAGGAGTGGGGGGATGATCAGTGATAGCCATCACGTACTAGCACGAGCACACGCCCACACTAATTTACGCAAGCGCGCGCGATCGCCCACGCACAAACACACAACACACACACACACACACACTCACACACGCGCGCACGCACACACAACAAACACACACATACCCAAACACATGTACATACATGTATACATGCATACATACATGCACGCACATGCCAAATTAGACAACCATAATGTAAAAGAATTGGACATATTTCGAAATACTGACAGCTGCAAACTGTTGTGTTTTATTATAATGAACTCCGAAATAAGACGACACACTTTCAAGTAGTAACATAAAGATTGAGTATTTCGTCAGGAAGATGCGAACTCTTTATTTTGAGTCCCATCACTTAGAAAATGATGTATAATGGTCAGGGGCGTCGCTAGACCTTTTTTAGTGGGGGGGGGGGGTGTAGAGGCCAACGATTACCGACAAAACTAGCCCCAAATTACCGACAAAATTAAATGTCCCAATATTTACACATTTAACCCTATATACCCGGGGCCGAAGGCTAAATTGTTTGTCTTACGGACTATAGTACTTGCGTATATATGCGCAAATGGTCATTTTCCTTGACGACATAAATATACGAATTATTTCGTCAACTTAGTCAGCATCATAGCTATATATTTTAATACAGGCGCGGAGCTAGGATCTCATTTTAGGGAGGGCAGTAGTGAGCAGGCGAATCACTCAAAGAGCGCGCAAAGCGCGCTCATTAGGGGGGTGTGGGTGATAGGCCTACCGCGCGAAGCGCGGAAGCTTAGACGTTCCTTAAATTATTAGGAAAAGAAGACGATTTATTGTACCCTTGTCTGAATAAATCCCCCCCCCCTCCCGCGCAAAGCGCGGAAGTTTTGACGTTTTAATTAAATTATTAGAGAAAGCAGACGATTCGTTGTACCGTTTTCGACTCTAAATAAGCCCTATTTATCTGAATTCAGTTTCCCCCTCTCGCGCGAAGACGATTTATTGTACCGTTCTCGACTATTAACCCTTGTCTGAATGAATAGGCCATTTTCGTAATGTAACCAAATTTAATGCATAGGTCTTTGTGAAGTGCCTCAATACAAACTATTTCATTCACCTGATAAGAATAATAGTATTTTAATAGACAGAATCCTAACTGCATACATTAGTTGTTGCCAGGTTGGACAAACATTATGGCTTGACCTACCTAGCAACACTTGATATATGCAGTTGCATTCTGACTATTGAAATACTATTATTCCTATCAGGTGAATGAAATAATTTGTATTGAGGCACTTCACAAAGACCTATGCATTAAATTTGGTTACATTACGAAAATGGCCTATTCCCTCCCTTCCGCGCGAAGCGCGGAAGTTTTGACGTTTTAATTAAATTATTAGAGAAAGCAGACGATTCGGTGTACTGTTCTCGACTCTTAATTCTCGTCTGAATTCAGTTTCCCCTTCCCGCGCGAAGCGCGAAAAGCTTATACGTTTGATTTAATTATTATAAAAAGAAGACGATTCGTTGCACTGTTTTCGACTCTTAAAGCCCTATTTATCTGGATTCAATTCAATTCATTCAATATAAAAAACAAATTCATTCATTCATAGACCTACACAAACATCACATGCATTGCAGCCCTTAAATATCATCCCCTCGTCCCTTAAGTTTTAGGTGTGAACAAATGACAACCACCGAGTAGGACTTGGGCAATGTAACAGTTACCGTATTATTTATCACTCTCAATCAGATGCGTTCACAGTTTTCACACCTCTTACAAAATGTTTCTGGAATTCATATAATGATACATGTACTGTATTTATTAATTAAATCTAATGAATTCTTTAATTTCCTCAGCCAAATCCTTTCTCAAATATTAAAATAATAAGAATGTGTACAGGCTTACCTTGAAAAAATTGAAGAGACAAACGGCCACTGTAAGTCTTGAAGACGCCAGGTCTGGAACTTCAGTTTTCATCTACCCCCCCTAACTATTCTGATCCATTCCACACCGTTTCTTTCACAATGCAATCGCATTACCAGAACTCAAGTTTATCTTTAATGATCGTGACATACTGTATACGTGTAGGCTATACAGTTATACATACATACAAAAATAACTCATTTCATATGCATTATGCTGAAATTGAAACAATCATTTTTTTTCCCTTTTTCCCCCTCTTTTTCGTTGTTGTAATCTCAGGGGGATATTTGTACAGGCCAACCCCCCCCCCCCTCCTTCAAGCGAGGGGGGATGTATCCCCCATCCCCCATCCCCCACCCCCCCCCCCCCCCCCGGGGGGATTTACGCCCCTGGTGCCTACCATAAACTGCATGCTATGGTGCCAACAATTAATAGGTAATTTGAAATGGGCTTGAGTATGAAAAACTTTCAAAATCTTACTCTGACTCCTTTCTTACTAACTTTCTTGAAACTTTTGTCAAAAATTATTGTCTACAAAACAAAGATAAGGACTTGCCCGTGGTGACGGCACAAAGACATCTAAGTACAGACAATCCTCTGTCTCTTCAATTGCTACAGTAAATCCCATCGAAGGGAATTGAGGGCAAGCAACGTTTGGTTTGGTGGCGTCTACCTCTCCCGTCCAAACTTTCTTGACAGGATGCTTGTACCTCAGCTCTCCAACCGGAGACTCAGCATAAGGTATCTTGGTGTATGCCTCCACCACAATGGTCTCACTATCTGGAAACTGCCGAGGTTTGACTTCGATGGTCCTACCCAAGATTCGACCATTCTGGGTGTCCACGAAGGGTGTTCCTCTACTCTCAACGGAACAGAGCAGGATGCTTAAAATGAGAGGGAACGCAAATACCACTTTCCGGACCATATTTTCTAATCAGTTGTGCACAAGATGGTTTATTTAGCAGGCCGTCTCATATGCAAAGACACGCATTGATGAATGCAACAGTTATGTGCGTGTTACTATAATGATATCTGATATCTGGGTAAGCCTACCCTGGTATGTTCCCAGTGTACAGTGCTTATATTTTCTATGACTTTGTATATTGACTCAAATAGAGACTAATATTTTGACACGGTCGCCAAAGTCTTATTTGTTTCCCATCAACCTTTGGACTTTTAACATTTTTGTTATAGTTTTACATTGAACGGTGAGTGATAAGAGCAGTGATGGTGGTGGTGGTGGTTATTTGGCATGCATCGTGTACATTATGGTTTGGGTAGTTCTGGCGGGAAAATACCAGACGGAGGCGGATCTAGCTTTTTGCCAATGGGGGGGGGGGGTGACCCAATTTTTGTTGTTGATTTTTTGTGAGCCCCCGTAAATGATGGTTTCCTTTCATCTATACTAACAAATACTGTGTGGGTCTGGACACATGGTGGCGTTTTTCCATGCACATCACATTTTCACTTGGTAGGCCAAGGGGGGCGGGGGTTAAATACCTAACCCCCCCCCCCCCCCTGTAGATCCGCCCCTGCCAGAGATGCTTTACAACGATTTCCGTTTCAAAATGCAACACACTTCGAATTACCTTACAATTCAGTTAGGTGTGTACATAGTGCATAATGATATTATGGAAATATGACTTAGGGAATCGCTTGGACTTTTTTTCTCTCTCTCTCTCTCCCGGGGTATGCGGGGTTATGTGCCAAATATTCTCACAATAATTTTCCCCGGAGATCCCGATTCCAGTGGCCTTCTCCAGGCACTTGGATTGGGGGAGGGGGATACCAATCTCAGGGAAGTTATCAATACAATCCTTCAGGTGACAAGCTC